GTAAGACGCATCAGTAATAGCATTCAAGCGAATAAAAAATCATAACAGAAATGTCATCTGATTTTGCAACCTTAAGTGGTGTCTAACGAGATTGTCCACTATCGCCATCTCTGTTTAATTCCACCATAGACCTACTGCTGGAAATAACGTTCTCGTCGTCCGAATTTCCAGAAACTGATCTCCTTCCAGGAGGTCAACTTATCGAATTAGAATACGCAGATGATATAGTCCTGTTTGGTGAAGACGCTGATAAAACAGTCTTTTGGTAGCATTGAGCAACAATGCCTGGGTGATTAGAATGTATTTATTCCCCTCTAAATGCAAATTGTAGTTTCAGGGCTGGCCTGCGCCGATACCTGAACTAAAAATAGGGAGAAAAGTGGTCGAACGCGTCGACGACTTCACCTATCTTGGAATTGTGACCAGCTTTAATGGGTTGGTGTCTGACGAAATCTCTACACGGATTCAAAAGGTCGCCTGGCTTTTGCCAACATACATCACCTATGGAGAAGGCGAGATATTCGTCTACCGGTTAAGGGATGACTATGCTGCAGATTAGTTCGTTTTGTTTTACTTCAAGGCTAAGAAACGTGGTCATTTAGAGCAAAGGACACTCATAACTTACTAGTATTTGATTACAGATGTCTTGGAAATATTACTCGCATCTGCTGAGATCATAGGGTAAGTAATATTGAGGTTGGACACAGAATATTATGGAATGATGGTAAATCAGTTAATGAGGTTGCGAATCTTCATAGACTGAAATAGTTGGGACACGTAATACGCATGCTCATCCGTCTATTACCACTGCGCACACTACTGACTAGTGTTGGAGACTGTTGGAAGAAAGTTAGGGGTGGCCAAATCAAAACGTGGCACCCGTCCATAAAGTCACCAACTTCTAGTCCGAGCTATGTTGGTAGATGCAGACTATTTGGTTGGGGTCGGTGTAACTATTGTAATCAGTGGTTGGAGACTCTTAATGACATGGCTCAAAATCGATCACAATGGCGTAAGTGTATACTCTCTGTCTTCCCTTAAACTATGAGATTAAAATCACTTCATATCTTTCTTTCTATGAACTAATTCTTTCTCCCTTCATCATATTTTCACATGAAACCTTTTTTACTACTCTTGAAGTAACTGCTTATATGAGTTCGGTGTTTATCTTGTACTAATGAGGTATGACAACTTAGACCGATGCATATATATGCCTGGTTCTACGTTGTAGCTGTCTGACTGATATTAAGACAATTGAACGAATAAACAGATTTTACGTCTAGCACAGAATACGTATCAAATGCTTTCATGAATAAAACATTCACATCAGGTAATCTTTTTATCACAAAACGTTGTCCATGTTGACACCTAAAAACATATTTATTTTAATTCCTAAACATCTTATCACTACTTTTAAAGTATATAATACAACTAACAGTAATTTACAGATTATTTGAATTAGTTCTATGACGTAACGAACATCAGAATTTTGATGACTTTTCGATATCATTTGTCCATGAGGTCGTATGTACATAGATCCTAAAATATGAACAAATGTGACGTAGAGCCCCAAATATCCAAGTACGGCCGAAAGTGAGGAGTCAGCTCTCCCTCTCGAAATGCTCTCACATAGACTCAAGTATACAACCACTGTCAAGAAAGATTTATTTACTGCCTTCTAGCGGTGATGGTGCTGTTTAGGAAATTGAGAGGATGATAAACGAATGTCCGTTGCTTTAACCGGGTGATGGATATGGAGGATACAACTAGGGGAGTTGGAAAACCCTGATTACAAATTAATGGTTCACATGGGCTCCAGGATCCTTAGAGTACAAATGACATGTGAAACTATTACTGATCACCGGCCACCATGGGACTGGATTTCCAAGACGCTGCTCCACTGCTTTGTGGATTAGACTTTTAGGTTAAAGGCTCGGGTAGTATCATCTTAAGAAAAACATCTGCTTCGGTTCGGGTGCCTGAGAAGTATTTTAGTCCGCACAGAAACCGAATGACGAAGTGTGGCGCATATCTATTTGGTATCTCCTTGTATCGATGTTTGCATTAAAAAACGGGGTATCTGGTCAAATGAAGAAGACTTCACTTTTATTCATTAAACAATCTCAACTTTTTATAAGGAATCATACTATAGAAACATACGTATTGCTGTGCTTTGACGCATATTTGAGTATGACAATGTTTACCCTTAAAAGAGTCATATGGTTGTTACAACATGTGGAAATGAAGTTTTGTTAGTCTGTGATCCTTCCTTCTCATTTGTAATCGATTATTTGTTAATTAACTAGTAATCCATAGTTATACTATTTCGGGTGAACGTTTTGTGCGTAAATAGTATCTTTGACTTCATAATATATATTCAACCAATTCGTTAGTAGTTCTGTCTTTTGAAATATACTCTGTTATGATGTGAGGCTCAAGTACCACGAATAAACTATATCGGTAATCACATGTCAGCTAAGTCAATCAAACAGTTATAAAAATCACACTAGTATGTTTTAATGCACATACAATTCAATGAATTTGAAATAACTTAAACTTACAGTACCGCATGCATCTTTATCTCCATGGAACATTGTAACACACATACGTACAACCTCAGCTTCCATTCGTCGAATATCAACAAAAATCTCCGGATGTAATGGATTTGTCCAGAGGAATTCCTTATAGATCTGAACAAGGAATAGATAGTGGCGAGCATATCAAAATCGATGTTATTAACCATTGTCATCATTAACGTACGCAAAGTGGAACCTGACACGTTTGTGCATCGGTTCAAGTTGGCATATCAAATTAGTACACCAAGGTAAAATTATTTTAATACAAATTTTAGAGTATTAGGAGTAACAGTATAGGTTTTAGTAAGAGAAGTTTACGCACAGAAAAATAAAAAAGTGTACGGAGATTTCGGGATATTTTCAAGCCAGAGACTAAAACATAATGAAAACAGATTTGTTTAGGAAAACACCAAGGACCTAAAACTTCAATCTGATAAATTTGGCACTTCTTAAAGTAGAAAACCGAAAACAAAACGGTTGGCGGTTAGTGGAGCTTACTTAAATCTGAAGATAGTTTTTACGGTTTAATTGACGGATGTGTGGCAATTACTACTAAAAATACTGGGTGATTGTCGTGCTGCATTGTAAATGTATTTAAGATATTAATGTCGACTATTGAATTTTAACCATGTAGTCTAAAGATAATGCACTTAATGCGATAGATAAAAGCACGAGGTTCGATATCTATAGAGGTTGTGGGTTAACACTGCTGAAAAGTCCCGGATTATAATGACAGATGCATTTACCTATACTAAAGAATGAGTAAAATAGAAAAGTACGTACTATACTTGTTTGATGGTTAAAAATCACTTGATTTTTCCAATTAATGAGGATATAAACACATTGTTATCAGTGACAAGAAGCCGAGCAGTTTTAGTATACTGTAAGAATATTAGTGTAAAAAACAATTTAAATCTTATATTTTAAACACAGAAACTTTTATAAAATCATAATTTGTCTAAACAAACACTTGGCAGATTCCCAACCGTGATAATTACCTGTGATAATTTTATCCTTAAAGGCGGTAGTAAATAGGGTGAATGTTGTTTTAAAAAAAAGTAAACACTCATATGCTGTGAAGTGCTGACAAAGGGGGTAGATAAGTCTAGACATAATTTGAAGATTGATTTGTGGTTGAAAGTGATATTACTTGTCTTCGAGTTTTTGAGTAAATCAACATTATAATCCCACAATAGAATAAACTAAAGGCTAGTTAAAACCACTTTTGACAATTATACTTGACAAAGTGGAAATATAATTACCTATAAAATCATTAGTTTGGTTTGGTTATATTATGTAGTTTTTATAGAGTATACAAAGGAATTAAGTTGAGATCAATAACCATACAAGTCACAAGAGACCACTTTTTGAATTCTTGGGGGAGGAAATGTTTTTCATAGATGATGCTCTTACGCTGCTTTCCAATCACGACTGAACGCAAGGTTAAGACAATGTAAGTGGTTGATAATGATTTATATTATTTCTACACGGATGATTAGGGGGCATACTATTAGCTATCAAGTTATTCTTCATTATTTACAGTTCAAAAATACAACTAAACCTGGACAGATGAGTGCTCTTTCGAATGCTTATGTGTCATATATCACCATCTAATTACGGCTATGACCATTAAAGCTGAGAGCTTGGGTACACAATAAAATTTAAAATACACAAAAAGTCTTAGTCAGTGTACAATCAGTGGTAACTTACATCCGTGCACAAAACTGTAAGAGCATTATCTCTTGGGTAAACGCTTCCAGAAACAAAGCCTTCGTTCCACTTTATATATTCTATAATACAATCTACAACTGCATGTTATAAACAAACCCAATGTTTTATACTTCCGGGCACTTGAGAGTACATTCTCCTAAAAAATTTAGATTGCTATAGTACGGATTACCACAGATTGTCCACAGATAGGAAGGTTCTTTTCAAATACGACATGTGAAGTTTTTTTATGAACCTCCATATGTATTTCTTTTGAAGCTTCATCTATCCTCTTGTTAATGTAAGATCTTATAAAGGGGGTCTTTCTCACACAGGCGTAAAAGGAGCATGCAAGCCTGCCATCAGATATTTCTTAACAATAATTGCTGTAACCATCACTTACCGAAAACTGACAAAATGAGCACAAAGGTTATAGATGATACTATTAAAGCAGAGAAATCGCAGTCACGCAATAGGTCTATATACAGGTTGAATCCAAATTTTGCTGCCGAAATCACATCTAAGAGCTGGAAATTGGAAAGACGATGACAAACAATGTACTTACTAAACTATCCATTCGAAAGAATTAAGACCTTGAAACTGATTATAGCGCGGTTTCATCGATAATGAGAATACTAAATGTTGAATCAGAAGAACAAATGAAGAATAAGAAGTGTTTCGACCTGCAAATATTGGACCCTCTTGTGACATTTTCACTTTACAGAGTTTTGAAGCAATTTATGATGGCCACCAACTACATTCTTTTAAAACCAATTTTTATTTCTTTGGAAATAGAGTTCAGGCAGCCTACAGCTTTTTTAATTCCTTTTTTCCTCTTCTTTCAGTATCAAATCTTTTCCGAAATAGTTATCTAAAGGTGTTTATTTCAATTCTCTCTGTTGCACTCTTCAAAACTTTTTCTGTGAGGGATGAACTGTATGTCATAAAATCTTCCCTTGCCATAATTATACGTTGAAGACAGACGCAAGGTGTTGTTCGAATATGTGGCTTGCTAAGTAACAGAGGTCTATATATACCCCTGAGCGATTTTTTTATGGATATCTTTTTTGTCGTTCAAGCCTCACTCCCGAAATAAAACCAGGAGTATGTGAATGTATGTGATTTTGTAATTGACATGCGAAAATAGTCACTTAATACGACTGATTACTGTTAATCGCGTCTGATTTGCGTTTCTCTCTTGAACTAAACGGATTTTGATCATATGTGTATTTGAAGTCATTTCTAAGAGTTTTATCTAATTTGTATTTGTATTTGTGGAGATTGACTATGAACACCACTACAGGGAAACGCGTGCCAAACAAATCAGAAGGCGAAGGTTGAACATAACCAGATTTATTTCGTTGTTGATCTCGTGATATCGGACAAATACTGAGATCGTGCCAAAAGAAGTACAAGTTGAGTGAGAGGGCAGGAGTACGAACGTACGAGGTTACAATCAGCGGAAAAAGTAATGGAGAGTAATGGCCATACAATATGTCATTAGCACAGTTAAACAAAACGAGCACAGTGAAACATTCACTTGTACAATTGGTTATAATAATAATTGTTTTTATTAAACCAATCGCGTTCTCTTGATAAAAGTAAGTCACTATACATTCTCTTTACTACTTATGATGACGATGTTCGAAAGCATTTTTTGTCTCAATAAACAACAATTGTAACGGTTTATTCGAAAGAAAAGTTTTTCTCCACTGTATGTGTCCCCAGTATGAATGGCTGAGTAATATCAAAATGCAATCCTCGAAAATCATTCCTTGGTTCTTTCAATAATTCTTTCGAGCCGGTTTTCTAGTTTGCGTTAGAGGCCGGTAAGATAATAGCCTTCACTTCTGGTTTCCACGTGCTAGGATGTGTCTGCTTGAAAGGCAAAAGCACAAATGAACTGGAGCAATATAACTGCTTATGCACTTTCCTCTATAGGTGGAATGTATTTCCTATAATGAACATCAACGTAAGTGACGACTGAGAAAAAGAATTAAGAGTACAGTATAGCACAGTTAATGGAAACTATAATTTGCTCGATACATTCTACCGAGACTACGAGTTTCAACGGTTTATAGCCAAAATGAATTTTTCAAATAACACTGTCACAAAGTAAGCCTAGTTAACAGAAGATGCGTATAAGTTACCTACTCGGAAGCTTTTGCACCAGCTTGACCACAACTGAAGTGTATTTAAAAAAGATTCCATTTGTTAAATATTTAGGTCAGGGTACACAGTAAGCCTGCAAAATTGTTATTTTTTTATACGATTTCGGTGAATAATAACTGTGATATATTTGTTTGGTCTTAGAAGATACCAAAACACACACCAAGCTGAATAAATGTAGTGCAAATATCATGGTTTCGGTAGTAGGTTTTTTAATATTCCATCTGGATAAATGAAATGATCCAAGTAATTGAAGCATAGAGTGTGGTTATCAAAGTTTTCTTATACAGTCGGGCATGAAATCGTTCGACTCTGAGTGTTGCAAAGTCAGACAGTACATGAAGAACCTACCATAGTAAAGTGTTGCTAAGCAGTCTGTTCATGAAAGCCATAGCTACTATAGTTTTCATTCTCTTCATTGGACGATTTTTCTGTGAATGTTGCAACACATCAGTTTGTCTTATAGGTTATTCGCTCACATCCTTGACCTACAGACGAGTTAAATGATGACTGAAAGCTTTGAAGATCTTTAAGAAGTCCTGTTTCTTCGATTTATAAGGTAAATAAATTAACAAAATATGCAATAGTGTTACAGGACTGGTAAATTATGAGTAACGCCTATTTGACCTTTCGTCTTGCATCGAAAAAATTGACGAAGATACTATCCCATAAGACTTTTCTGTATCCCTCCTTTGGAAAAATTTGCTTAGACTTTGGTACTAGTTCGAAAGTTTGTACGCATACGTCGGTTATTTCGCTCACAGAAAAACTGGTAGATTCAAACAAAAAGCAATAATAATTAAGGACGAAAAATGAAGTGGAAGCAACATGACGATGAAAGCGCGGTACACTTAACAAGCAGTTGTGACAGAGAGAATTATGTAATTCGTGTGACGAATGTTTCGATGTTTGTAACAACTAGTTACACTGTCACCTAAGCACTCTTGCAATTTGAGCTTCTAGCTCCTGATAGACAAGGTTCAATCTGAATTGATATTACATACATTATATTCACAATTTGATTACAAGATTTATGTGATCTCGAAGGATGTTGACTTGACGTCAAAGAGTTAATATAAATGTGGTTTTTATGGCCGTGGTTGAGAAATAGAACAAAAATAAACAGTGTTAGATATGCATATAAGAGAGAATTTTAAGTAAACCATTACTGTAGACGACATTAACAGTGATAAAACTGCGATTAGAAAATAAAGAATTAACAATTTCGTAAAATCTCGGAAGTGAACGAAATAAATTTATTGTAAATAAAATATCAGGAATAGCTAATTATGTAATCCCGATTGGCTGATCACTGGGTGGTGATCAATGTCATGTGTCAAGTCCTTTATAGTGCAAATCGAATGCTATCGATCAAGTTGTACTTTGGCCACTAGTCTAGGTGACTCAACATTGCGTTCACTATGTCGAGATAGAATGATGATTGGAGGTAGTCAACAGGAAACCCTGTATTCAGGTTTCGTGCTATTTGGTACTCATCAACAAGGTGTACCTGTTATCATGAGGGAACTGGTTCTCTCTGACGGATTTGATCCTGTGCAGTTTCACAGTCAGAGACGTTACCACTGGGTTATGCCGAGTCACCTAGATTAGTGGCCATATTGCAACTTGATCGATAACATTCGATCTGCACTAAGAAGGACTTGACACACATGAAATTGATCACCACTCAGTGATCAATCACTCGTGAATACATCTCAGTCTTACATGAGGTCGGTCGCAGGTCGAATAGCCTAGTGGTAACGTATCTGACTGTGAAGCTAGTTGATATGGGATCGAATCCGTCAGCGAGCACCAGTTCCCTCAAGATTACAGGTTCACCTTGTTGACGAATGCCAAGTAGCACGAAACCCGAGTCCATAGTATCCTGTAGACTATCTCCAACCACCATTCTAGCTATTTATGTAAATAAATGATCATTAGAAGTAGGTGATTTTAATCTGCCAAAAATTACATGGGGCTTGACTCCGGTACCAGGTCGATATAACAAGCTAGTTGAAACATTAGAAATTTGTGGATGGGTTCAACAGGTCCGAAAACCAACTAGGGGGAATAATACACTTGATTTAATGTTCACAATCAACATAGACTCTATCTCAGTGCATACCAGTCATGAGTTTTTTATGAGTGACCATAGTGTTGTATTGAGTATTATTCACTCTTTAAACGCCATACAATTGAACTCTAAAGCTTCAATGACGTACCAGAGCAGATATTTTGATCAACAAACATGGAAACGGACTGAAACTCTCATTCAATGTTTACCATGTGAAACTTATTTTACCACAAATAATGTTGACATCGCGCTTTCCAATCTATATCACAACCTGATATATTATCTTGACTGGACTGCTCCAGTTATTGACTGTGTGGCTTATAATGGTAATAGGAGCCAAAATACTTTTAAAAGAAAGCTGAGGAAATTAAAATACCGCTACTATGAGCAGAATGATGTGTATGCACTTCAGAGTATACTTAAATTAATCAACAGAAATGCTTCATCTAAACGTAAGTATTTCATGAATATAGAAAATAAAGCTCTACGTAGTAAAAGCCCAGAATTATCAATACTTCGACTTTTTAAATCTCGTGTAAAGTCAAATTCCCTTGGCACGACCAAATTCTTCATAGTTAACGGAAGCATTATTAACGACCTGAATAATATATGCGAACAATTCAGCAAGCACTTCTCGCAGTGCTACAAAACTGGAACTGAAAGCTCCAGCATTACATTTCCAATGCTAACATCCAGACATCTGTCGAAAATTGATTTCACACCCTCCGCCATCAAGCAGGCCATAACTGCCCTGAAAAAGTCTTATGATGGTGGACCTGACGGGATACCTACATCATTTGTGAAATATGGAAGTAGAGAATTTCCACTACTTTGTTTGAAACTTTTCAATCTATCTATGGAATATGGGACCTATCCATCTGTATGGAAAACATACCTTATCACCCCTAGATTCAAAACAGGACCACGTAGTGATATTATTAACTATAGGCCAATTAATTTGACATCCATGCTCTCAAGTACAATGGAAAAAATCATCCACAAACAGCTACTATCATTTTTACTTTCAGCTAGTCTGATCAGCCCATCCCAACATGGGTTCATGACTAAACGCTCATGTTTCACATCGCACCTGGAGTTTTTGATCAAATTACCCAGAGAAGAGATGTTGGTCAGTCAGTGATAATTCTTTACTTCGATTTTAGTAAGGCTTTCGACAGTGTCTCACACAAACTTCTTCTTTTAAAACTCTCTTCATTTGGCATACAGAATCCCCTTTTATCTTGGCTCAAATCTTTTTTAGAAGAACGTAGCCAAATCGTTCGTTTTGCTACCCTAAACCTGTAAATGTAACCAGTGGGGTTATACAAGGAAGTGTGGTTGGTCCATTACTCTTTCTCCTTTTTATCAATGA